TGCACCGGAAGTCTCTGCTGATTGTTGTCGCAATAAAGACCTTTGCGAAAATTAGTGCAGATTGTGAGTTCTGACCTTTCCCACTCTTCTTTTGAAGAGCTTATCGTTGAAAGTTACCGGTCATAAAGTTTTTGGAGTAAATAATCATTATTTATTTTTTACGCTACCTCTGCAGCGATTTTTTTATTCTTCTTTGATATCTACCTGCTCATAACGCATTATACAGTGCAGAGACTGGAAGTACAGCGGTTAGTGTAGAGGGGCTAGGTTAACAAAGAATTTTGTGAGGGCATCAAAAGTGTCTGTCCAATGCGCGAGGATCAATGTCTCTGGGAAACGGTGGAAACCAACCGGTATAAAAATCACCAATTCTACAAGCATGACGATAGAGGTGGGGAAGTGTGACTGATCACCATTTGCTGCAGTGTTAAATTTGCTATTTGCGATTGCTAACATCGTACTTTATCGTAAAGCTGTAAAAATTGGCCCACTAAGCTAAAAATCATGGTCACTACGACAAATCTGTTGCTTATCTTTATTTGGTTGACTTACAATCTTCGCACTGAGCAGAAGTGTAGACATTTTGCTGCATGTCGATCCACTGCGCATTACGATCGCAAGTAAGAGAGGGCACAATCACTTCGCCAGGTGATGCCCTCATTACTCCTTCGGGACAAGCAGCAATTGGACATTGACCTGAACAGGAACTCAGAATAATTACAAAGATTTTAGTTATTTAATGATAATAAGTTTTGAATTGTTTGCTACACTGATTCAAGAAAAATATTTGTCGAGTAGATTTACGGAGTTTTCTTTTGCGAACTTTACATCCGTTCCATTATTTGATGAAGCTCGTTTGATTATATTTTCAAGCATATTTTAAATGGAGCAGTAACCTGGCTGAGTGACAACAGTAGTGCATACGAATCCTACAGGACATGTCATTGCGCCCATGGTCAAATTTGTGCACTGATCGCAAGCTAAAATAATCACAGGATTTCGTCATTTTAAAAGATTCAAAAAATGGGAAAACTTACGAAATTCACATTGGGCGCTACCATAGACATTATTTTGATCATCAACCCACTGGGTCATTCCATTGCACGTCAATAAGGTCAAGAGTACTCGAGCTGGGTTTCCTCTGAGCTCACCTTCCATACAGTAAGTTTCCTTGCACTCTCCTAAAGCAAAACATTCCATAGAATCCTTCCTTTATAGATTCATTTCGTACAAATTTGCTAACAGTTTGAACAACGGTTTCGCAAGATTTCCCATCTTTATAACTCTGATGTGGCTAGATATAACTTATTTTGCAAATCAAAAGAGTCTTCATTTTGTTTTTGCTTATACTTCGAACTTCTTAAAGCCTTGTAGTCTCTCACTCATTCTCGTAACTGCATCCTATAACAAGAGCTGCTGTTACGCAAACGAAAAAGGAAGTGTCACGGAAATTACCCTTCAAAAATCAAAACTTGCTCCTGAATGCGCCAATGAGAGTACGTTTTTACGGAGTAATCGCTATTAATAGTTGTGATAGTACTAGTTTTGACAGCAATGATTGCCAAGCCAATAAGAAAGCGATTTTGCAGATGTGAAAGTCAATGATGCTACCGATTTTCTACAGCCTTTGCACCCTTAACTTCCGAT